GGGCTTAGGGCTTTAGGGGTTTAGAGGCCTTAGGGTTTTAGGGCTTTCGTAGTTTAGGGCTTCAAGTTTCGAGCTTTTGGGGCTTAGGGCGGTCTTAGGGGTTCACTGTTTTAGGGGTTTAGGACTTTGGGGGCTTAGGGCTTTAGGGGTTTACAGGCCTGAGGGGTTTAGGGGTTTAGGGCTTTAGGGGGTTAGGGCTTTAGGGGTTCAGGGCTTTAGGGGTTTGAGCTTTATCTTCATCTGACATACCAGCAGAGACGGCTTCATAATATAAGGCTATAGAGGGCTCTTGCTTTAAAGGGTCATGTGGTCTTCCAGGATCATATATAGCCGGACTTTATTTCTGGGTGATATGCAATTGCAAACTAGGATGTCCCTGATTGCCTCCTGAGTCCTGGCTTCGTCGCCGGAACCTCTCAAACAGATTCGCTGGGTTAGGGTTTAGGGTTTTGAGTTTAGGACAAAGGTTTAATTAAAAGGCTTTATGAGTTTAGGGGTTCAGCGGTTGAGGGGCCAAGAGGTGAAGTGCTCAGGGGCCATGCATATTTGGGATCCTTCAGAATCCTGGCCCCAGCTATACCCCTACACAGGTCCGACACTGCTATATATTGTTAGAATTTAACCCTAGAGCTCTAAACCCTATATGTCGAGCTTGATTGATCGTTGTGCGTGTGGCATATGGGACCGTGCGATCGCAATCGGTCAGCAATGAACCCAGAACCGTGGACGGCCCAGTTCCGCCCGATGGCAATCGAAACCATCGACTCCCGACCCCATGGAGGTCATGAGCAAACAACGATGGGAAGACAAGTTCTTCGAGTATCAGAAGTCGATGAGACTATGGTGGGAGAAGTCAAAGATCAGACTATGTGGAACTTTGCACCCATGTGGAGCAGATCGCTCAAGAGCCCCTGTGAATCACAAAGCAGCAAAACCCTAAACACAAAAACCCGAACAGATCTGAATGCCTTCAAACCAAGCCCTTTACTGTGGATCTCCAAAGGCCAAAACCCTCAAGCCCAAAATCCCTAAACCACCCTCCAAAAAATGATCCTAAACAGTCAAACCCGTAAACCCCTCAAACCCTTTATAA